AATCGGAAAGTGCCATTTGAAAGAGAACAGATTCTAGTATAGAGAAAACTATGAATGTCAAATATCTGGGTTTGGGTCAGAACAAGGTCCGGCGTGGCTTATGTGCAATGACTCATAAACAAGTCACATAGTATTTGAAACAAATTTTAGTCTCGCCATCTACGTTGTACAGCCAGGTATACTAATGTCAACCAAAAAAATGAACTGAGAATGAAGAAAGGAATTAAATGTCGTGATCATATATGATTAAGCTAAAATCAGAAAATAAAAATTTATATGTCAGTAATATATCTCTTCACTCCATATGAAACTGATGTTGTAGACACATTGGATAACAATATAGACAACTACCTAAAGTATCAAGAATGACTGCGTACTAGGATTTTTATTCAGTAAAACCTAAACCAAGAAGCAAATTCTCATATAAATCTTAGCACTTAGAATACATATTCTTGCCACTTAATACTCAATTCATTAGTTGTTAAAAGTCAGAAGCGTGCGTCTGCCTGTACAAGGATGATTTATTCTTGAAGATTAAGTCTGTGAATATTTTGTATGAACGTCTCAGGTGTCAAAATACAAATCTTACATACTTTCTTTGTCCAAAGAAAATGTATAGATTTTTAGAATTTTGTTGAATAATTTGAATCATTTAAACGCATTAATAATAATAAAAGTAGCAGAATCAATATGCTGCAAGAAATCTCAAACAGTTACGGGAGTTCAGCAATCTTTATAATAACTAACCTCCTGCTCTCAATAACAGAAGGCCATCCCCTGTACCAAGACTACTGCTGACGATGACCCTCCCAATAGACGGTCATGTTTCTCCTCTATTATGGGGCGGGAGTCTAGTAAACAAAATATCTTCATACTTTGAAATAATTTTTGTTTATTATTTCATTCTTTTCTTTGTTGCGGACTAACTACCAACTAGAGTTGAAGTAAACTTAACGATTTTTCAGTCTTTGGTTATTCTATTCGCAATGATTCCTCGTATATCTTTTACGCATTCAATTTGCGCTTTGAGAATTATTGGTACTTCTATTTCGCTGAGAGGTGTTAGAATATCAATACGTAGTGTATTTTCATAAAATAATTCTTTTCTTGAAACTTACTGGGCTTACTAGGCTTAGTGTATTCCAGACAACCGGAAGTGAAATGTAATCTTACAGCTTACTTCCATGCTACACTGCGCCGGCCCCACTCCCAAAAGAAACGATGCAAATATGTATTCCGGTCGAGAATACACCAAATTCAACAAATCCAACATGTTTCGAGAATACACTGCGTATTGATATTCTGACATCTCTCATCACTATCAGAAATTCATCGGTAAATCAGAGCAGAAAATATTTTCTATTTTAGTTAAATTCACAATGAATTAATTAGATGATCACAACAAGCACTACTTTCCAATGAATTATCAAAGATTTTGTGTAGTACTGCAATAGCTTTAGTGTATAATACACAGCGAGGTATAAAAGAAATGAACATTTTTTTATCTCTTGTGCAGTATGCGTTAAAAAACTACTGGATTTTTCATCCTCACCAAGGATGATTTATATAATGATTGATCCGAACATCTAATGTGGAAGAAAATATTTAAAGCATTTTAAGTTTCAGTTTGAAAATTTTCAGCTGTATAATTAAATGCCTCAAAATCCGGTCTATAATAGTTTAATAGTACATTGTATTTCTTTTCACCAACCGATTTAATCATATTGTACATTTTTTTATCGTCTATGTTTAACTTTTTGTGATTTGGATCCAGTTTATGCGATGGAAAACTTACTTTGCTATCTATGTTTAAACGTTTTAATAATATGTCGACATCTTCATCGAAATTCTCATATTTTCCTATCCAATCGAATTTGACTTTACAGAAATCACAAACTGTTACAACTCGATCCCAATGAATATTTAGTTTAAAATTATGTTCAATAGAATAAACAATATATAACAAAAATGTTTTAAATGTGAAATTTTTATGTTTCAATGTTTTCAACATTACGCGTTTTCTATATCTCCACTCTTTAGATTCAAATGGTTCCGGATAAATAAACTTATCATAAAAGACGGATATTATACGTTTAAATGGATGTCGAACGATAACAAATTTAAATATTGTTGTATTCTTTAATAAGTTCCGACGGTCGTTAAATTTCATATTTTTCAGTTTCATAGAATAAATCGTCGGATATATTGTCGTATATAAGTAACTACTATTTAATTTTGCAATTAAGGCATTGTTCTGTTTTTTTGTTTGTTTTAAATACCGTTCATTTGATGTTAATAGTATAATACGTAGAATATTTGTCGATGCCACTTTGGGCACAGGACATGCAATTGAATTTAGACGTTTTACATTCAGGAGATTGCTATACGGCGTTTCATTTGTTATTTTTTTACAAAATGATGATAAGTTATTAAAATTTGGTTGTTCCATTATTTGGAAAAAATTTATATTCGATGGGCCCATTTTAAATACAATTAAAATAAAACACAAATAACTTAATATTATTATAATTCTTGATCCAGGTACCTTTCTTGAAGTAAAACAAGACGCATAATTATACCATCGACGCAAAATATTGTGTAGCGTTTTCCTTTTTTGGCTAAAAATGTCGATGTTAAAGTTTTTTAACGATACGAATTAATCAATTTTCATCACTTATTTCACTCTATACTGTTGGCCAAGATAAAGTAAGACTGTTTTCTCTACACTTGTTAGATATATAAAACTTCTACATTTCTTTAGTTTTACGAGCCGTATTCAATTCTTTCTAAAAAACTTTCACTCTTTACTATTTGAAAAAAACATAGAAATATTCAAAAGGACGGAGGAAAATAAAACCATTTTCCGTCTTCTAACATTTTTGAAAAAGAATTACATATTCAAAATCAGAGTCAAATTCTGCATCGAATGACATATGTGATCCACTCAAAATCGATTTTCATTTTTTTCAAAAAAGGTTCGCCTCTATAACCTCTTTGGAACTTCGAAAAACTTTTTTTCTCAAATTTCAATGGAAAATATATCATTCAATGCAGAATTTCATGCTTCTTACGAATATTAGATCGAAAATTGAAAACCGTTGAGGCTTGACGGAAAAAATTAAGTTTTACTCGAAGATGGCGTTGACGATCTAATTGAGTAAATGTTTTAGTACCTCAAGGTGATGTTTGGTAATATTCAAAATCAGCTAGACATACTCAAAACCTTTCCGAATGTTGCATAAATTTGGTTAATAGAGCATTTTACTCAGAATCTGATGCTCTGTTGAACTGCATAATGGAAAACATTTTGAAGATTTTCTAAAAAACTTTATGTTCCAAAACCCGGTTAAAGTAAGAAAGCGTACTTTTTTCGCGAATCAAAGTAGGTTCATTCGATAAAGCTTCAAAACTGTATATTTCATATCGTTTTCGCATTGGTTGTGCTTTTCGTTTGGTCGTGAGGAAAAAAATACGGAATCTAGGACGTGGTTTTTTAGGGGTTTTCGAGGTTAAAGCGAATTTTTACAGTAAAAAGTGGCATTTTGAGCATTTTAAATATGCTATTCGGAAAGCTTTTGAGTGTTACCAATTCTGAATGTTACCAAACATCATCTTGAGGTACTAAAACCGCATTTATTCAGTTAGATCGCCACCGCTATCTTCTGGTAAAACTCATTTTTTCAGTAAAGACTCAACTGTTTCCAATTTTCGATCTGATATTCGTAAGAAGCATAAAATTCTGCATTGAATGATATATTTTCCATTGAAATTTGAGAAAAAAGGTTTTTCGAAGTTCCAAAAAGGTCATAGAGGCGAACCTTTTTCGAAAAAAATGACAGTCGACTTCGAGTGGATCAAATACGTCATTCGATGCAGAATTTGACTCTGATTTTGAATATGTAATTCTTTTTCAAAAATGTTGGGGGACGGAAAATGGACTTATCAAGCTCTCTCCTTTAAACTTCAGCACGAAAATTAAGGGTTTAAATTATTTTCAAACTAGTCCTTTAAGCGTTCGGCATACGGTTGTTGTATTACAAAAATTTTGAATTTCTCATGTCTTCTGAAAAATATTTTTATTATTATTTGGTGTGGAAAGACCGCAGATTTCTGAAAATCCTGCTTGCGCTAGAGATCAACTTTTCCTGGCATGCTTGGGGGAAAGAGCATCGTTAAAAATCTCTAATGTGACTTTTACCTGGAACAAACTGGTTGTCAAGAAATCAGTCTAAACCAGATTGTCATACAAAACATCTCTTAAGAAGTTTCCTACCTTTTTCGTTGAATCATATTAGAAGAGTATGAATTGTCTTCTGCAGAATTTTCCCATAGGACTCTGTATTATCAATGAAAAGGTTATTATTCTATCTAATATCTTTGTTCTGAAGCGCATAGTATCTGTTTTTATACTGCTTCTCATAATCACATTGCGTTTACGCATGATTGCTTCAATCTCTGTCTTTATAACGATTATGCATATATTTTTCGTTATGCTGTTTCTCTCCTTTTTCTTTTTCTCTCCAGAGACCATTTTTCTCCGGCACGTTTTTAGAAATATTGTTCAACCGACATTGAACGCTCAGTACTCATTATTATCACAAGGGAAACCGTCAAAGTTATATTCGGAGCAAGTTAAATGGAGTAAACAGAGCAATCGAAGCAATCGTAGAATGTAAAGCGCTTCTCTTTGATGCTTGTATAAGAAAGAAATATAAAATCTATCTTATCTTCTCCAATTCATTCATTTTTTTCTATAGATTCCTTTTTATTAATTCTTACATATAACACATCAAAGAACACACTAACTGTGCTAATTAGTTATAATTAATATATATATATATTCTATTTGGCTATATCACTTGCTAATATGGTCTTAAATAAACAGTAACGGTGGTCATAGAAGTATGCAAAATGGCGTGAAAGTCGTTGTGATTTTTGTAATTTTTGTAGAACTATTAAATAATAGACGTTTGCACGTTTCAATGCACGTGTCAAAATTGTATTTCAGTTGAATAATTCGCCAAGTCCATATTTTATCAGATGTATCTCAGTTGAGAAACGAATATTTTCGCAGAAATAATGGTTTCTCGACCGAGATACCTGATTAGAA